GTCTCGCCCAGACAGCGGGCCATCGTCTGAGCACCGGCGGGAGAGCTGTCGAATGTCGGCCTCTTGATGTCAGGGGTGTAGAGGCTGTTATCGACTCCTCTGCGGTTGGGACTGTTGCCCATTGGCGGCTCTGCATCGTCCAGTTGCTTGCCGGACATACAGGCCTGCCAGACCAAACAGAGGAGAAGCAGCTCGGCCGCGTTTCCTCGCAGTAGTGAGAGCTGTTAACGGTAAATGGAGGGAGGCTGAGCAGGTTAGTTGCATCAAAATCTACAGATAATACGCAAACAGATCATGCTTACTATAATCAAATAAGTAGGTAGTTATGTATAGTAAACTTCAGCCTGAGCAGTCGAGTTGCATAAAAATCTAGGGGATACTGTTTGCTACCCTCTGCTGAACAATGAGTAAGGATTTCTCATAGAAAGAATTATTTAAATAACCTAATGAATGGCAAAGAAAAGCGCACGATAAGTAAAATGAGAAATACAACCAATACAAACAATTTTTGAGAGTAGAATATCATCATGAAAGATTGGATTCTTTCCCATTTTTTAAGCCAGAAAGAAACCGCCTGTCGCTAATAAAACTAAAGTAAATTAAGATAAACCTAAATAAACTAAAAAGTAATACAAACTAAAGTAAAACCAAAAAGTCTCAACTAAACTGAAAACAAGACAAAAGCAAACTAACCAATGTGAATAATAAAACCCGAAGGAAACTTAATTACAGCGATTAAACTAAAAACTTAACAGCATTTAGCAAAACTAAAAGTAATCGTACGGAAGAAAAGCCAATAAACTTAATGTATAAAAGCACTGCAATCCGCGATTACATGAAGTAACGAAACAGTGTGCTTAAGTAGGCAGTTATGTACAGTAAACTGTACCATATAAGGGATCTTTACTAGAATACCGAATTGACTTGTGCCTTTCCGTTATATTAGAAGAAGAAGCCTGCTTTCCATTCTATGTGTAGTACGACCAGCCTCGTGATTGGCTAGTTCTAATAATTGTTTGCATTATTGCGAAAATTCCCATTGAAAATTTCAGAAGATAAAATGGCGAACATACGTTTGTTTTCGATAATTCTCATCAGGCCTTTACATTTATAGGGTAATTAAGGAAATAAGAAATGCGGGTTGGTAGAAAAATAGAACTGTTGTCAGGGCAGGGGGAATGAGGGGGGGGGAAATAGAACTGATGTCAGGACAGGAGGAATGGAGGGGGAGGAAAGGGGGATCAAAATACGCTCAGCATTAGGGGAACTGGTAGTCGGCTGAGGTGTTAAGCTGCT